CCCACTTCCTGTTTTCAAGTCTTAATTCCCTAAAAGTAAAAGTAATTCTCTAAAATCCATCATTGAAACATCAGACCTTTCTCTACCCCCACTTATCCTGCAAACTATATCTGTTCCTCTCGTGTACTGTAAGAAAAAAAAGTAGCGCCACTTTTCTTTCTTTTTTTTTCTTTTTTTATTCCAATATGAACTCCTCTTTAGAACATCACTCTTTCTAATCTGCCTCTTCATTTTACATCCTATCCTCTCCTTGACAGCAACCCTTTTAAAAAATACCCTCTTTCATTACACCGCAAGTAAGTGTATTGATTACATACCATCCAGGTGCAAATCCTTTTTAAATGTCCTCTTCCTATATAATTTCATCAGTTAAATTCATTATATTCTTTCCTATGGTAGCATTTCTTTTCACAATTTCAACAATAATACGTACACTTTATTGTTTTATGGAGATTTTTATTTTTTAAATTCTCTCTTTTCCATTTTTTCTACCACTGCTCTGACTCTCCAATACACATAATCGGGCCACATCTTCATTTCTCCTTTCCCTGAACTACTTACTTCCTCAGATTGCTCACTTCATCGGAAGATATTTCCTATTGTAAAGACATTGTCTTTTCCTAAAGCATCGTCACAGTTTACGCATAACTGTTTTCTCCACTCGTGCCAGTTAAGGAAAGAGGCCTTCTTTAGTCAGATAATAATAATGCTTTTGTCTCATAACTCATCTGACTACAGTACAAAGAGACTAGTTCATACGCCACGTGAAATAAAATAAAAAACAATATTTTATACATTCTTTTTGGTGTGGTCTCACTCACTTTAACTGTTGTACACGGCGTTACTTTCGATTGATTCAAACTTTTAGCTCTGTATACGATACCAAGATGTAGCCAATGGAATCTTGCCTCCAAAACTGACAGACATAGTTCTTGGTAAATACTAAGACGGTTGTAAGTACTTGAACGAAAGCAAAAGAATAAACATGAAAATAAGTCAGTTTATGTACAATTTTGATCTTATTCGTAAAGTGGACGCTACAATAAAAATTTAAACAAATTTGTCGGTTAATCAGTTGAATTTAATAAAAGTTATTTGAATGAATAGCTACTATCTAATATATATATATATATATATATATATATATATATATATATATATATATATATATATATACACACACTCCTGATCAAAAATTTAAGACCACTTGAAAAATTTTTTAAAAAGACAGTTTTTATGGAAAAATTTTAAACATTTTTTATTTAAGGTTACTAATTTTATAATCTAAAAGGTTATATAGACAAAAAGTTATAATCCGAACATTTTTTTTAAATGAGGCGTTTTACACTTAATCAAAGTTATAAGATCAGAGACAAAAATTCTACGAAATTGTACGAAAGGTGTACGAAAACATTCAACAACCAAATTTAATAATGAGTTCTACCTCCAGTGGTTTTGATGACTTAAAAAATTCTTTGGTGCATGCTAGAAATTAGTGTTTCCATTAAGCTGCGAGGAATATTGTTCCAGCTTCTGAAGATTGCTTCACGAAGTTCATTTTTTGTTGAATATTGTTTGCCATTTCGTTAGACATCACTTGCCATCCATCCCCAACATTTTCAATTAGGTTCAAGTCCGGTGAGCATACAGTCTCAAAAGATGGACCCCATTTTCCTTGTAGAAAGGTCAAAGTCCGGCATGCAGCGTGAATTGCAGCATTATCCTGTTGGAATAACCATCAATGGCCCTCCGTCAACAACGATGCTTTTTTTTAACATGCTAACATAACCAGCTGTGATCGCCCGCTGTGACAAACCTTGATTATGGAAATCTAGAATTCGAGGACGCTCAACTTCGGTAAGTTTGCTTGCTTTAGGCATGGTAACACCTTTACGCAGTGACTGTTAATCTCTAACTGAACTAAAAACATTGGAATTACCCTAGATCTAACAATTTATACCCACTGGTCTTATAATATTGATCAAATGTAAAACGCCTCATTTTATTAAAAATGTCCATTTCTGAATAAATTGATCGGATTATACATAACCATTTAGATTGTAGAATTAGTAACCTTAATTAAGAAAAAGTTTATAATATATTCATGACAAACAGTCTCTTATAAAAAATTTTCAAGTGGTCGTAAATTTTTGATCCGGAGTCTGTATATAACAAAATGTCATAAATAAAAATGTTTATATATATATATATATATATATATATATATATATATATATATATATATATATATATGATAATGATGTGATATTTGTTCTTTGTAGTCTTCAGTTATGAGTGGTAGCTGCATTTTGAGCCTATTCAACGTGACTTATTTGGCCGATCTGAGATTTAAACTCTCTCCAACATAATAGAGATATGTTTGCAGATGCTGTGGTTTAAGCAAAGACAAATTGGATTATGCAATTCAGCTTAGCCAATACTCCTGATTTTTGTTACATTGGACCCTCTTGTAATATTGCTTCGAGTTTTTGGGTCATGCTTTCTCAAAAGTCGGCGTCAATGCAGATATATTTGAGGGAAGTTTTGTAAGTCATGGAATTCTTGAAAAGTTTCTTCTGCAAACTGACTGTCCTTTTCCTAACGCAATGTTCACCACACAGCGGTCGTTTCGCTGGGCGATTGTTTATCATACTCACTGCATGATAAGTCAATTTGTCTTTTTTTAGGAGAGTGTGGAAGATTTAGAGATCAACCAGATCCAGGACGTCGGTGTCAGGGATTTTATTCTGCTATATGCAGAAGCAATTCGTCTACAAACAATTGTGCTATTTGCTGTGTCTCTTAGAGACGGTTCAGGTCTTATAGGAGAATGCTAACAACCATCGAACGTTAGGTCGTCAGCTGCTAACGACGACCCACCACCACTTGCACACATTCTTGGAATGTTTTTGTAGCCTCTGATCTCTACATCGTTATCGACAGCATTCGTGAGATTTCTCTCAAATTAAGTGAAGCTGTCAACTTTAGGAATCCATTGCAATATGATAGTGTAGGGACTTCCAATGAATTAATGAAGGTTTCTTGTTCAATATCGTAGAGATGCATATGCAAATAACAATTTCATACCCATTGTAAAAATGACCAATGCTACGCACACAGAAATTCAGTCAATAATAAAGAATTATATGAATTTTCGTTTTGTGCATCAGAATAATCTTTTCAGTAACAGCTACATTTTTGTGCAAATAGTGCAAATAACGTCTGAGAATCGAAATTCACATAGGAAATAAAATAGTCCGAACTAAATATTTTATATTATTGAAATTCTTTTGACAATTTACGTTATAACAACGAACGTCATGAAAGGGAAACCTTTGTAAAAACATCGCTTGTCAAGTTGTCAAAATCGTTTCCAATCTGTTTTTAAACCATTTACATACACGTATTCTACGTATCGGATTAATCCACCAACGTATGATTGTCGCAAAACATTCTTTTTGTCGATTCTATAGCTTCTTGGGGAAAAATGAGGCAAAGTCTTTTGATAGTTAATATCAACACATATTTTTGCCCGAAGAAACGAATCAAGTGTTGCCTATGTTGCCTGTGTTATCTGCTTGGTCATTCTTCTTAAAAGTCATATCACTTCGGTAGAAAGGCGGCCATGGCTCTCTACAGTGTATTGTTATGATTTCTTGGAAATATACGTGAGTGATTCCCCATTGCATTGTTTTGCACAGTTTTGAATTCAGAGCTGGCCTCCTTGTTGATTGGCAGCTAAACAAGGCTCATGTGCCGAGTTTGCTCTGTTATTTAACCCATATATATGGGAGGAAGGGATGAACTTTCACCTTTCCCAAGGTGATTAGAGCAAAGCGAACGTAACAGTTTGTATGAATTTGAACTCGGATTGACGATTTCATATTCCACACCAACAACTATTAGGCTATACCCACATCCACTACTTGACGAAAATAGTCAAATAAAAGGACATTGGCTAAGATGGCTAGCCAATCACTGTTGAAGGCGCCATATGTGCGTTGTTCAGCACACACAGAGCTAACTTGTGCTTTATACTGCAAATATGCAGGGCGAACCATAGTTACAGTTTCTGAGAAAGAGCACATAATCTGTCGTGATCGACATTTTTTTTAACAAGAGCAGTACATTTGAACTCTCAGTTACGATGTCTTGTAATTTCGTGCTAGTACAACCATCGACGGCTTCTGAACAGTTCCATCTATCCAATTCTCACTCACAGGGTTTGAGTCAACCCATAGTATAGTTGTCAGGAGCTTTTCAATAGATCCCGAAAAGAATCGACAATGGTATGATTCGAATCTGAGTTTTATGGTCAGAAATCGAATTTTACTAACCACGTGGCTAACGTTCACATACATACACACATACAGGTCGATATATATTACTTAAGTGTATAATGCTTAATTATTCTTGTCTTCTTCCATACAGACAGGAATATAGATGGTAGTACTGAATACTATACATCCAATCCGATAAATCCTCAAGAAAGAATGTTTCGTCAATTCCTCAAATTTCGGGATGAAGATCAAGCCAAGAATTTTTAAGTTCACAGTTATCAGCTAAATTTTCATCTGAAACGTTCATTGCACAATGTTTGACCTGTGTGATTAATATTCAACACTGAATTTAATATATTACTAAAGAAAAAAATATGTAAAACTGATTTTTTATCATCAAGCTACAGAGTTGTTGATACATCTACGTATATATGGGATATTTTTCATGTATTCTTTCAAGTCGTTTTAAAAATCAGACTCCCAAAATTTTATATTTTGCTAAAACTGTTGATTTTCTTGATTTTCTCCTTTCCACAAACACAGATTTCCAAGTTTTCAGTGCGATTTTAACGCTGATAACAGTTCGCCTCTTGCAAAAAAAAACAAATTCAGCCTACAGTGAATAAAGTTGGTGGTAATATTCCGAACTAGTCATCAAAATCGTAAATCGTATTGGGTGATGAAAGACTTTTTTTGTAATCCTATTTCCTCTGAAGTGACTGTAAGTGACTTTCTAGTCTGCATAAATGTACCTACTCGGAGGAAACCATTTGAAACAACCTGCAGCTTGGATAGAACTTAATGTGATTGGTGGTAAAAGATAAGGCGATCATGAAGCAGATGTTTTTGCTAGACAATCATAGATTATTATCTCTTTCTTCTTGTGCTCCTCTATCTGATTATAATTAATGAATTCAATATACAACCAATAACGATAGGTATGTAGATAGGTAGATATGGAGTTATCCTGCGTGGATTTGATTTGTCGTTTGATGTAATGCATTCACTTTGCTGAATAACTATGCATTTTTGCTGTTTTGCAAAATGTATTTACCTCTTAAGTCTTACACTGCTGTTTGTATATGCAATATGATATATATATATATATATATATATATATATATATATATATATATATATATGTGTGTGTGTGCGTGTGTGTGTGTGTGCGCACTGTTTATACGTTAATTTTATAGGTATAATTTAAGTAAAAGCTCTGCTTTTAATCAAACGGTGTTAGTTACACTTACCGTCTTGAATGTTCGATAAATTTCGTAAAAAAAAAATGCGTTCTCCGACAGAAATCGAACCTGCAACAGTAATGGGAACCGTCATATAACATGACATGCGGTTACCATTCAGACAGAGAGAGGTATCTGTTTAGCAATTTCCGGAATACTGTTTATAAATACACACTTTCGACAATTTTTCACGATCGATCATTTCTGCTCACGAAACATATCTTAACATAAATTATGAAATGGATTAAATCCGTCAATTATTTAATATATTTTGTGTTTATACGTTATTTTTATGGATATATTTTAAGTAAATGCTCTGTTTTTTAATTAAACTGTATTAATTACATTTCATAAATATATATATATATATATATATATATATATATATATATATATATATAGACACGCACACAGGGTGCGATAGGTAAATTGTCGACAATTTATTTTAAATTTCGTGCATGCGCCTTGTCTTAGATTTTGTCGACTGCACAATATAGTAGGGTCAGATGGCCAGGATCTGTACGAAAAAGAGCACCATGACGCAATTGATTCGGCCAGAAACTTAGAAAAGGCATGCTGTACTGCTTGGAATTCGCGCCGGAAGCTCTAATACAAACATTTCAGAGTGTTTTGGTGTCAATCTGAGGAAAATGCAGAGGATTCGGAAACAGTTGGATTAATCTAATGGTAATTACGAAGGTACGGTAGCTCAGAAAACTCACTCTGATGATTCTAATAAGTAAAGAACCCCAGAATTTGTTGGTGAGGGCCTCAGACTCAACACATCGGTTACAATATCTGGTGATTTGCGTATTGTAATTACGAGTTGTCTTTTCTCCTTGTAGCCAGTCCATAAATTAATCCTAAAATTCGCATTACAGTTACTACCAAGTTGACGTACTTCTTTTATACAGACAACATCAAGGTCTGTTTTCTTGCATTCTTCTAAAAGTAAGTGCATCCTGAAACCATTTGATCCTGACTAGATGTTAATTTATTCTATTTTCTATCTGAAGAACTTTTTAAGTTTTGATTTTGTAGTCAATATTTTTGTTGGTATTAATACGTGAGGTGGCTAACTAAACCTTTTGGGATTAAGATAATAAGCCTTTAATGTCATATTTTTTATTTGCATATAATATTAGTTGTACAATTTTTTACTCACTATAGACATTTTTTCGCATAAAGAAATGAAGGTAGAAACCGTTCTTATTACTCAATACACAATTTGAGAACCATTCGATCCTTCAAGAAACCAATTCGCAGATGTGTACGACGATGTTTTCACATAAGTCACATAACTCGAGATACGTATGCTTTTAGTCCTGGGAACACATTTGTTCTGAACTTGGCGTTCGTCTGTACTACGTGGTCCCCAAGTCTACTAATGTTAATATTTATTTGACCACTGTTTCTAAGATCGAAATAACTACCTCCGCGTCACGTTCAATAAGAGGAGCCGTTTTACGAAATTACCATCAAGCCTCTTGACAACCTATAATCCGATCTCCTCTCTAGCCGCTCTAATTGATCAAACAGAAGACATGTTCGTCTCCCTGACATGATACTTCGTTTGCACTTTAACGACAAAGTTGGTGCTCTGGCAAGAGTTCTATTACGTCATATGATACGGATGACATAAAAACAATACAACTAAGGATTTCAGAAATAATTAAATATTACAACTATTTTTCTGGACATAACATGCCTATATAATATAATGATCTCTTAATAGTCATTTGAAATCTAATTTAACATTTTCAAGTGAAAATATTGATAAACTAGGGAAATATACTCTGGTCAGATGAAACAAGCACAGAACCGCTTACGCATAACGACAATAAAATTATTTGGTACAAGGTGAGACTTTCTATCCAAAGAACAGTCGTCCCAAATACATGGAGGTGAGAGTACCTTGCTTTCAGAGTGTTCTTCAGCAATTTGGAACAGGAAGCTTATTAAGCGTTGATTCTAAAATGAAAACTTTGGTTGATTTGTTTTTGTTTAGCGGCATATCAACCTCTATGGCTCATCTAATGCCATAAAATTTTTTTTTTTTTTTTTGGCGGAGGCGGGGAGATAGTAATGGTTTTGCTGATAAAATGTCTTACAAAATAACCTATTACTGGGGAAGAAGTGGATTCAGTGCTTTCACAAAGGTATTTGCGCGTAAGTCAATATAAAGACTCTAACTGAAATTGGAACTCTGTTCTCCGATTAACAATTCTGAGCCATTATCCATTACACCACCTGCACATTCAAGCTTACAACATCTAGTATTCCTAAGTGGTTAACTTCAATGATGTGGCCGGAAGCCGAAAATGAAAAAAGAGGATTATGGAGTTTTGGATGTCAACGTAAAGGTGTCTTTTAGAAATTAAAAGTTAAGCGTTGCTAGAACTTTAACTATAACAGTGAATCAAACGCCTCTAAATTAACCAAAAAATATCCTCGGGGTATGAATATAAAATATTTATCTTGTCCTATGCAGTGTTTCACCTTAATCCAAATGAAAACTTACAGGATCAATTGAAAAGACGCGCAAGATGAAGAACACAATCCACCGGCAAATTTAATTCCGGTCGAGCAAGAATGCTCCGGTAGAAAGCGCGAATTTGTAAACAATGATTACTGTTGGTAATACTGCAAAGCTCTTCCATTAATTGAGCCCTCTCGGTCATTGGGCTGTTCATTCGAACAATAAGGTCGTAAAAATTAGCCTTCCTGTCAACCGGGCGCTCAGATCCGGCGTAAAGCATCCAACTGATGCCAAATCAGTCGGGTTTAGATCCTGGCTTGGGGCAATCGGATGTCTAGCCATACTGATGTGCTGTGATACAGCGGAACAGTCTGTCTGTGGATCACAATACACACACGCACATATATATATATATATATATATATATAGCGAGCAAGTGAGGGAGAGAAACAAAGAAAGATAATTACGACGTTTTAATTTAATTCGACATTTTTATTACAGCAAACCACCTTGGTAAACTGTAACACGAGTTCGGTCTCTGCCGCAGAAGATATTTTCTGCATTGTGATTCCACAAATACGCAGACCGATAGACATAATACACATTGTTTAAAGTAAAAATAAAAATGGAACGTCTATTTCAAATACGAGTATCCACAATAATAAGGTTTGAATTAACAATTATATATATATATATATAGAGAGAGACAGAGAGACAGAGAGACAGAGAGAGACAGACAGACAGACAGACTGAGGGAGAGAGAGAGATTTCTCTTCATGTAAATACTGAAGGCTACAAATTTTGAGTTCTTAGATAGAATCCGATAATTATTCCGGATTTTCTTTTATTGCTGTGATGTGAACAGAAATTTATAACAACATTTATATTAGTTAATTTGCGATGGACATTTGAGTTTTAAGCTATTGTTAACGCGATGTTAGTTACATTAACGTAAATATAAATTTAGTCCTATGAAGTCCTCAAGGACGAAACATTTTCCAGTTTGCCATATTTCTTTCTTCTAAAACTGTTCTGGATATATAAAAAAATATATCGATTTTCCATATATATATATATATATATATATATATTAGGAGAGACGAGTCAGATTTATAATTCAGAGTTCTTTAGCATTTATTTTTTTTAAAATAGTGCTCGATACGCTGTAGAACATAATATTACAATTAATTTAAAAAAATATTTATCTATCGCGACACAAATTACTGTTTCGAAACCGAAATTTAAATCTTAAATTAAACTTAAAATTTGAAGGCTTTGTCCCATTTTCAAGCGATGTTGAGAATACATTTCTGTGTCGCGATGGATACAAGTGTCGAATAAATCGTTTGACGTCTGATGCTATAGACGCAATCATCAAGGTCACAAATGTTGTTGTTTTTTCTAAGCTATTTATATATACGGGTCAGTGGTGCAGTGATTGTCTATTTTGGCGATTGTTTTGCCGGAAGTCGTTTATTTGTTTATTTCTTTATTTGTGTTAAATTATTTTGCTTGTTTTATTTTTGTTTTTATTTTTATTTCTTATCTTATATATCTATTTTTTATTTTAATCGGTGTTTTATTAACGTAGTAAAAATTTGTTTATATCGCTTATTTAATAGTTTTGTTTTGGTTTGGGAAGATAAAGCTATTTATTCAATTTTGGGGTTGATTGCTGTAGTTTATTCTAATTATTATTTTGACGGGAACAGTTTTTAATTTGTTTATTACTTCATTTATTTATTTGGATTGATTATCTTTACTTGTTGTTTCTATCGGTTAATTTAGCGGGATCGGTTTGTTAGTTTGTTTATTTATTTGGATTAATTTAGAGTAATTTATTTATTTGCTTTTTTATTATTTATTTATTATACTGCATATTTTTATTTACTCTTTTCGGTTTTCTATTTTTAAGTAACGTAGTATTTTTTATCGTTATATCACAGTTATAGCTATGTTTTTCGTCCGATTTTTGATTTTTATAGTCTAAGTAATATTTTGGTCATAATGGTTTATTAATTTGT